CCCAAAAGTATGAAACCACGCTTTTGGGCAGACAACGCACTGGATCACGGCTAACCTGCTTGAGAAGAGGCGGAAACACGGCAAGCCAACTTAAAAGGCATGGAAAGCACATAGGAAAACCAACCAGGAAACCCAAAAATACGAAGCAAACCTGCACGTCGCGACCGCGCCCGCTCGCATCTCGCTTTCCGTTGCTTGCCGGACTGGTTTGCAGGTGGCACTGGTGTATTTGTATTCTGAGGCGTCACATCCTGAATGCAGCTGACAGTTCTCTGCACAGAGAAGCGGGTGCCCGCTTACATTTTCCAGCATGTGCGTTCAAAAACCATATTGAAGCATCCATTGCATTCTACCACGTTGTACCTTTTGAGAAGCTTCCTTATATATATATAGTACTATCGGGAAGCAACATGGCACACACACACACACACACACTTAGCAAGCAGAATGCCATGTAGGTGTACAATTTTACTCCTTCCTTTTGCTTAAAAAGTGCACGTACATTATGTGTGACCTTCCATTCTTCTATTCGGCCATTGTTTCCGATCAAGTCAAGGTATTAATGTCGAACTTGCTAATATGCAGCTTCACGTCTTCGAGGCGCCGTTGCAAAAGGACAAATCATGCAATAACCGTAGGTTGCACACATCGAACACATTAAAACACATGAAACCTAGTATGCCAATGAACTTTGTGCAAGCCAACCATAAATACTCCAACAGTTTACTTCTAAACTTACAGATTGTGGCAGTTTGGCCTTCTTTCTCCTCTTCATGAGTGTACTTCCAGCATGCTTGCTAGTTACTAATTCGTACGCAGAGGTGGATGCAGTAGAAGATGCACATGTGACTTGGCATTTTTATCACAGCGAGAAAGCTTTGACCTTGGTCAAACTTTTGACGTTTTTCTTCGGAGCGGAGAAGAGAGTGTTTAAAGGTTGACCTCCTTGCGCGGTTCCGTGCGGCATCGGCCTTTGTGGCTGAAGGACGAATGTGTCAAGGAGCCCGGAAGCCTGGCAATGAGAGGTACAAAGAAAACACATGAAAACATTTTTACACATGTGCAACTTCTTTATTTATTCTTTTGTTTCCTTTTTTTAGACGCGCTCTCTCTCTCTCTCTATCTATGGGCTATAGCACGTAGTAGCAAGGAAACTATATGCACAGGAAGCTTCTCCTGATTAAAGAGCCCTTTGGGTTGAAGCTACTCAGCTGCTACTCAGCATCAACTCAGGGTTGCACTGTCAAGACTCTGCAACTGACTCGAGAAATCCCGCAGGGTCACAGAGCAACCAGATTGTGACAAGGACAGGAACAATGATTTGCGAGACTGGCTGTGGGCTTTCAATTGTACCAAGGTTTTGGTGCACTGTGCCTCGGGAATCTCTCGCTCAAGCACAGTTTGCATGGCACACCTCATGATTTCTGAGGCAAGAGCAGGGCAAAGCAGCAGTATAGGCAACATTTTGTTCCCTTGTGCTTCCGGGCTGCCTTGCTCGTGTTTTGCCAAAATTGTTTGCAGGAGTCCGTTCAGGTCCAATTTTAAGTTTGTTTGATTCCAAGCAAAACACAACAAGCTTTGCTGTGTGATAATGTTCCTTGTAGGAATGGCATCTGAGCTCCGCCGCAAGGCAGAACGCCCTGCAGATCTGAACGGTTTGAAGAATTGATCTCAAACTGGAAAGGTGCAAAGGAGACAAGTAAGTCATCACATGCAAAGGCAAAGAAGCACTGAAGCAGAATTTAGTTGAATTGGTGAATACCTCGGAAGCCATGCCAGGTTGGTTTGCCTGGCCAGGCCATTTGCACGGCCGAGCTAGGGATCCAAGCGCTTGACATTAAAGGGTAAAACAGCCCGCTCTCCAAACATTGAGCCCTGAGAATTTGATCGGCCCTTCCAAAAATGTCATCTTCACGTGTGCGTTTTGCCAGAAGGATGACCCGTCCACTTTAAAACCACAGGGACGGCAATAAACAGAAACTCTGGGCATTGGAAATCCTTTGTGTCTCATCTGAGGTTTGTCTCCCCAAAAGACAAGGAGTGTTGTGTTGCAGTGTCGTTGTTGGTGCATAGAACTGGATGTTGGTATTGCCACGAAAGGATAAACATAACGATAACACAAACGATAACGCAGGGAGCCTAAAACAGCGTTCCGTAGACAATGGCCCAAACATGTACTACAGTAACTGTGCTTGTCTGGAATGAGCTGTGCCATGGTGCACAGTGCACAATAATGTAGAATGCACATGTTGAAGTTGGTTAAAGCATTGTAAAACAACAAGGAAGACACAACGTAAGGGCTAAGAGTGGCAAAAAGATTGAAAGGTAAAGGAGTTTATTTAATAATTATTACACAACTTCAAGTGTTCTGATGTAGACCGGGGGGTCTTTTTGACAGTGACCCTACACGTCATGGCAGACAATGTTCACACCGCCTCATAAGGCCCAGCTCTTTGGAGACAGCTTCGATGGTTGGAGGAGTTCTACTTTGGGAGATGCCTCCAACCTAATAGGAATGCTTGTGCTTCTTCTTTAGTTTCTGCATTTTCCTTTGTTTTAAGTTTAAGGTTTGTTTTGTTGATATTCAAGCTTCAGCTGCTAACCTAGGGGTGGTAAGATGATGGAGACATGCAGATGGCCAGCAGTGGCTACATAGCTGCTGTTGCGTACGACTCCTGTTTATTTTTGCGAAGTTGCTAGACCTTTCAGCTCCTTGCATGTACATCCCTGTCTTCAAGACTTTGTGCATTGAACAGTATGCACAGCTTTAGTGCAACAAAATACACGCTACAATCTGGCTTTGATTGCAGAAGCCGTTGCAATCAAACTTGTGTTTGTTTCAACATCATACAGTCGTCATGACCTTCAGCCAGCTTGGACACTGAGGCAGAAGATTGCCCAGTTGAACCAACTCGTGTTAAACCAGCTTGAAACACATAGATCCGAAGGACACAAAGTACTTCAACATCCACTGTCCATTGACGCACACACACACATATATATATATACACATACACACACACACACTAAACAACCTGGCCTTCATGTCGTGGATGCATGGAGCTGTGGTTCAGCCATTCTGTGTCTCGGGCGCCTTTGAAGTGAATAGTGTGAATATACAAGAGACACTTCACAAGAGAGTGTTTGCTTTTGCTTTTTGAAGCGGATTCTCCGCATTTCTTGTGGGCGGTTGCAACTGGGAATGAGCAAGACTGCTGCGGAGCCCCTTGACATGTTTTGCAGTGGAAATTGACTCAGGTGAGAACTTGCAAGACTGAACCACAGCATCAAGTTTCTCAACCCATTGTAAGCAGACGCTGGCAGTGTCAAGGCAGGATGCCTCTAGAGCCGAACCGCTAACTGAATTTCAAGCGGGTACACACATATACAGAATTCTAAAAACATATATGTGTTTTGATGCTATGAAACCGTATGTTGATTGGAAACAATTTCTGGTTCTGAGGATGCCGCACAGGCATTGCTCTTGCGCTCGGTACAGCTCGCTTGCCAACTCGGCGAAAGGGCGGAGGCGGCGGAGCCAATGTCCGGCCCTTACACCCTCTATGGGGCTGCTAGGAACAAGAAGCTACTAGGGGCTCCTGGCATCGCTACTAGGTGCAAGGACGCTACTAGGGGCTCCTGGCCTTACTACTAGGAACAAGGACGCTGTTGACTGGTCTCAAGAGTACAAGGCAGAAACCAGGAGGGGACTCTGACACACTGACATGTGGATCCAAACATCCAGAGAATCCAGAGGCCAGTTCATCAGCCAATTGTAAGGAACCTTTCTCAAACTATCATGAACATCTTATAAACGTACTATTTACTATCCTACCCTTCCTACACTTTCCTCATCTCTCCTCTCCTGTCATCTCCTATCTCTCCTACCTCTTCTATCTTCTGCCTGCCGGAATAGACGTCACTAACCCGCGATTTGCCCCTCGTGAACACTCGTGTCTACCACGTGCAGATAGTCATGCGGACATGTACTTTTTTCTTCCAATGAGAAAAGTTGGCACAAGCAAAACTCAATCGGGAGCTAAAGCGTCAAGTTTTCCACGTGCTCCTGCCATAATGAAAAGCGATTTGGCTCAACAATGGTATTGCTGATGTACAACTGGAGGAAAACACAGCTACATGACCAGAAGAAAGAACACGCATTGTTCATATTATTCATGCTAGGAAAATTTACCAGCTCTTTCATCCATTTTACTTAAATATAGTTTAAGCAATTGCATTGCTTCCCTGACCGGCTTGTAATCGTATTAAAGGGTGATCAGCTGGGGTTCTCAATTCTTGCATAGAAAAGATCCTGGGCCGAGATGATTTCTGCAAGCTGGGCTGAGATGAGTTTGCTTTGTACCTCTTTGTCTCTCTTTGTCTCCCATAGCTCTTCTGGCTGATGGGCTGAAATGATTCTGCTTTGTCTCCCTTTGTTTCCGATGACTCTTCTGGATGCTGGGCCAAGATGATTTCTGGCCTTTTGCCACCCTTTGTCACCCACACCAAAGAAACACGATGCAAGGAGATTTGTTGGCGAAAAGAATCATCAAGTTGCCACTGCTGTTTGGGTCGATGCTGGTGTAATTTAAACTTAAATCATCCACATTGTTAGCAAAGGAAGGAGTGAACTGTATCTCAGTATACCCAGTATACTCCTTGGGAGAGCCCGACCACCATCATTCGCAGTCAATAGAACTGTATTTGGTTTTCAGGAATAAGGGTATTGAGACAAATCTCGGAATCTCGTAGTTACTGCTCTTGATACACCTTTTTACTGCTCTCTTTGTAAATTCAAGCAAGATGAGGCCTGAATTTCTTTTTAAATTCTTTTCTGAGGCTCTGGCCGTAGACAGCACCTCTGTGCAGTCTGCCCCGCAGGCGGCCGAAGAACTCAGGGATGAACTGCAGCAGCTTGCCTTCGAATTTTACTCGGGCTGATCGGGGTTCAATTTCTAAGACTTGGAAATAACGCGTTCGATCAGGACACTGTATTAAGACATGTTTGCTGTGCTGGCATTTGTCACCACCTGAAGTGCTTTGTGTTTTGCATGTTTGTCTCGCCAATTTTTGCTGCTCCCCTTTGTCCGCCTCCAAAGGCAGCTTCGCCAAGAAGCACAGGAAACTTTGCAACTGCATCCGCCGCAGCACACTTGGCTGCCAGAAGGCTGTGAAGATGCTCCACCGGACGGAATTCAAACCGCACATCTTCTTTGTTTGTTCTTGCTGTTCTCTGGCTACTTTCTGAGAATAGGAGACCCCTTTAGTAAAGCAGCCTGCTCTGCGCAATCAGGAGATTCTCGCCAAGTTGGTCCAGATGACGGCAGGTGCTGCTGCATTCCCTACAGACAACGAGGTAGATGATCTTTGGATAGAGATGGATGCAGCTGCTCGTGCTCCCGGAGGCTTGCAACTTTCAATGTACATGCACGGCACAACCAGAGAGCTCAGTTCGAATATATAAGTATGTATATAGTAGTAAAGTTTACAAAATCATGGCCCCAACAATGTAAAACCATGGCCCCAAAAAGGAAGATTTGAACCCTTGGACGGACACAACTAGAAATCGGAATACAAAGTTGCAACTACATTTCCCGATTTGGAACCCATTTTATCGCTTCACAATGCATAGGCAATGGCCGAGGGAGCTGGAGTTGCAGTGCCTTATTTCGCTCGAATTCCAATCTGCGCTGCATGAGGTGAGGAGTCTGTCCCAAGCTGGAGCCATGCACGTTTGCGTGAAGAAGGCCAGCGGCTTTGAGATTTAATGTCGGCTCTCAAGGTTTACTGGCATAGATGGTATATAGATACATAGGCTATGATAGATCATGTATGAAAAGTAGTTTGCACTTGTTACAGTATATTCTCTAAGGTATTTCTCCAGCACGTTCAAGACTTCAAAAATTACCCGTTGTGTTCAGGTGGTGAGTCTGCCTTTGTGTCGGAGTTTATGATGAGATGCGAGGTGGTTGAGCAGGCAATGAAAAGGGGGCCTTTTGGATGCAATTTTTTTCGATGCAATTCTTTGGATGTGTTTTTCTTTCGCATCGAAAAGGTCCTTACATCCCTTACCTTCATATGGATTGTTTGTAGTTTGCACGAGACTGTGACATAGGGGAATTGGTGCTCACCAAGGCTTTGGACGGAGATTCCGGACTTTGTGGACAAAAACCTACTCGAGGTCTATGTCACACACCTTACCAATGACGTCACTCTGCTGAGCAAAAGAACAAACATAATGTTGACAGGTTTTTCTTTCTAGTGATTCTAGTGTCACATCTCAATCAACTTTCGAGCTGATTTCAAGAATGCAGTCTATGTGGATGATTGATTGCCCACGATCTATGACCAAATGGATCCAAATGGGTTTGAGGACTATGTGGTTGGTGCTGAGATCCTGGCTGCTTCGCTGGCTGCAACAGGCACCACTCGTCCCTTGGTGGCTCTTGTCACCGATGGCCTCAGTTCCTCTGGTCTTCGGGCGCTCCGAAGAGCCGGTTGGCTCCTGCTGGAGGTTGGCCTCATGGGACATGAAGGACGGGGACGCACCCGGATGCTTAAGGACGCACTTGAACGGCATTGCAATGGCACATTATTCATATATGAAGGATGTTATTGGTCACTTTATCATGCACCAAACAGTTTACTGCTCCCCAAGCTGTGAAATTTAACTGTTGGGGTTCTCTCTTAAAAAAATAAGCTGGCCACAGTCTCTGGCCGCGCCGGTAAACGCTGTGTCCGGGCGGTGTCGTCCTGTTGTCCTTTTCTTGTCCTTCTTGTGTGCAGCTTGGCCAGCTGCCAGCTGGTCTCCAGACCTTGTCCTCCTCCAGCCCTCTTTTTGTACTTTGTCTTTTCCTCTTCTTGCCCTCTTCTTCTCCGCTGGTTTCCTCTTCTTGTCCTCCTGTTGTCGCCCAGATGGCAGCATAGCAGCATGTAGACGTGGCGCCATGGCAGCGTGCGCGCGCGACAAGCCTTGTGGCCTTGTGTGGCACCTAGTGAGAAGACGCCATCCTGCAAGCGCGAAGACCGCAGTACCGCAGCATGGCCACCGCACCAGCCAGCCGTTGACATCCTCCTCCATGAGGAAACCAGGCCCTCCAATCACCATGGCACACCAGTTTCAACCGGCCAGAGACTCCGCCAATGGCACTACCCAGTGTGCCCACTGTGGGTCGACATTTCACAATTACTATGGACTTCGACGCCACGTGGAGAACAATGCCTGCAAATCCGATGAGCATCGAGGGGTCGGGGATCATGTTCCGAAGTACTGGTCCTGGGTTCAACAGTTGTGTCAAGTGGCTGCGCCGAGGACTGGCCACAACATCCACGACTTCAAGAGGTCCTGCAACAACACCAAAGCCTTTGCACACTGCCAGGAGGATGGGGAACACCGCCTCTGCGACACCCTTCAATGGATGAGTCACAACTCAGTGTGGCTCTTAGTGGATGCCCCTCAGACCCCTTCAAAACCCCAG